TTGTATGATTTTCCCCAATTCCCTCTAGTTCTGTGTCATCCTCCTGGTTTCCCTCCGGTGTGCACATATACACCATACATGTGATCAGCAGCATGGGGTTATTTAGTAGTGATTCAACCAGATGAGTGGAAGTCTTTTGTTTCTTAAGTCTTGTTAATTTTGTTATATCACCTTACATTTTGGATTTAATATCCACTTATCAGGGAGACTGTGTGCCATTTGTCTCTTTGCTCTTGGCTTACCTCGCTCAACATGATTTCTTCTAGCTCCATCCATTTCCCTGAAAATGCCATTATTTTGTCCTTTCTAATGGCTGCATAATATTCCATTGTGTATAGATACCACAATTTTGGATCCATTCATCTGTGGTTGGACATCTGGGTTGTTTCCGTATTCTGGCTATTGTGAACAGTGCTCCAATAAACATGGAGGTGTAGTGCTGGAGTTTTAACTCAAAGCCTCACACTTGCATGGCTTTCTTGCTCAGTTGGTATTCTACCACTTGGACCACACTTCCATTTCTGCTTTTAGCAGATTATTATGGAGATGGAATCTCAGAGACTTTTCTGTCAAGAAAGACTGATCATCCACATCTCAGCCTCTTCAGTAGATATTATTATAGGCTTGAAACACTGGCCCCTGTCCAGCTAAAAACATTTTAGAGCAAGAATGTAGCATTGCTTAATATTTCTCTCCTGTGGCCCCTATCTGCAACAAAGAAGGAACTTTTCCTAGAGAGTAGGAACCTGGAGTCCACTTCTTCAGCCTGCAGTGAGTATTTGTAAGTAGGGAGATTCATCCCTAATTCTACACTGACGGCAATCTGTCCTCCATTCCAGAAAGAGTGCTTAATATCTGAAACAATTTTAAGATAAAAATAATAGAAATTACTTGCATTATTTTTATCTGAACAATATTTTCCTCTGTAGTAACAATATGTAATTGAGAATCAAATCTCTGTAGCTGGGAAAGGATCTGATACTTCCTTTTAGATGAAAAGTTGAGTTAAGTAATGTCTAGAACTCATGTCACTTTGATTTCAAACCATATGTGATACATTAGAATACTTTGAAAGACAATCTCACAAACTATACAAGGGAACAAGAGAATAAGGAAACAGAAGATGCTGTACGTAAGGAAATGTACTCGTTACCTCACTTGCGTAATTGTAATTCCTCTGTAAATCTCCTCTATAATAGCAATAAGGTAAATTAGTAAAAATTTTAAAAAGATAATCTCAAAATAGGAAAGTTTTGTTGGACACAGTGGGAATAAAAAGGGTGTGTGGGAAGGAGAATTTCCCTCAATACCCAGGATCTTTCACAGCTGAAAGAAGATTTACTTTTGGGAGAAAAGGCCCCATGTCTTTATTTTTTGAGAAGAATTTGTAGAATACTTATCTCAGGCCCTGGTCTGAAAAATCCAGTTGAAAGCTGACATGCTTGCTCTTGTGTGCTTCACCACTTGTTGTCCATTTGATTTTTTTTAAGCTGTGAAATGTTCCCCTCTTCTGTGGTCTATATACTCATAGAAAATATTACATGCACAGTAGGCGTAAGTTGCTATGCGTGATTAAACGGCATGTCACATAGATGTGATGGTATGTGAACTATGGGCTTTTAAACAAGTCATTATAATTTTAAGGACAAAACTAACATGGGAAATGATGAAAAAATCCATTAAGAAAAGTTTGGTATCTCTATCTTACTGGTAATCAATATTGAGTTTCCTCTAGAGCTAGTCCCTAGCAGCACAAACATGTAAACATGCAGAAAATGGCAGGAGAGTTAGAAAGGGAAGATACTAGAAAAACAAACTATTAAACAGGGGGAAAATGTATGTGGAAGGTAGGTGTTTTTGTTTTGTTTTGTTTAGGTTTTTTTTATCTTTTTGTTTTTGTCAGTCCTGGGGCTTGAACTCAGGGCCTGAGCGCAATAACTGAGCTTCTTTTGCTCAAGACTAGCACTCTATCACTTGAGCCACAGTGCCACTTCTGGCTTTTTCTGTTTATGTGGTACTGAGGAATCAAACCCAGGGCTTCATGTATGCTAGGCAAATACGCTACCACTAAGCTACATTCCCAACCCCTGGAAGGTAATTTTAATGGGCTGTCTCATGCAAGACCTAGACATCTAGCTTGCACCAGATTAAGCAAATAGAAGATGATAGATCAATCAATAGATAAATCGATGGTAGACAGACAGACAGACAGACAGACAGACAGATAGATAGACAGACAGACAGACAGACAGACAGACAGATAGATAGATAGATAGATAGATAGATAGATAGATAGATAGAATTTCATGTAAAGGGTAGAGATGGAGCCAGACTCAGGACCAACAAGATTGAAGGATTCAAATATCCTCAAGACTTGGAATTTTCCCCTTCTTCACATATCTTCACAGTGTGCCTTCCTTCATGAGAACCATAGCTACTAGCAGCTATGGTCATTCATTTTATACAAGCAGCTCAAAAAAGTTTCCCACCAAATTTCAGTTAGGAAAAAACTCTATGACCCCCACCCAGTAAGGTCTCTATCCAGAAAGTTTCATGGTGCAAGTGCTGACCAGTCAAGACACCACTCCTTCTACACTTCTTCACTTAACAGAAGTGGACATTTTCTTGTTCCGAGATTATTATATATATCTCAGAATGTGCACACAGGGTCATGCTCCCAAGCGCTCAATATCTGCTATGTTATTCATGAGAAAAGCATGGCAGATAGCACAACCTAACTTTTTTTTATTACTGTGTATTTGTGATGGTACTGTGGTTTGAACTCAGGACCTTGCACTTGCCAGACAGGTGCTCTGCTACTTGTACCATGCTCCTAGCCTTGACAATTTATCTTAATGAAATGTTTGGGGACTTGAACAACTCTAAAACTCTTTAGAATATTCTTATAAGAAGCTCATTCTGTGAGTTAAAAGTTGTACCAACAAGCAGGGTAAAAATATTTTTTCCTATTTAAATATAGCTTCAGTTCTATTATCCTTCCTTACATATCTTTTAGTTTTTTCACTCTACAAAGAAGTATAGCAAGGTATATATACGTCCTAATAATTATATCTGATAGATTAGGCAGAACTTACCGTAATGGACAGGAAGAGGCTGAATTTCAGAATAACATTTTTGGTAGCAAACTCATTTTAACAATGAAACAACCATTTGTCTCCATTCTAACTTTGTACCTTAAATTGTCTTTTCTGGATTTCACATCAAAAACCTTAAACTTCCTTAACCACTTATGTGTGAAAAACATAAAACCCAATGGCAAAAGACCTGGTAATCTCTTTGATTCCAGTAGCAAAACCATAGGATAAACTGAAGAAAGGAGAAATCACAAAGATCACTTCTTTCTCTCTGTTCAGTACCCAGTGTTTAAAACAGATTATGAGCACTGTTTGTAACTTGGCCTGTGGACTACGTAATGACCCAACTAACCTTTGCTGTGTATGAATTGTAATGTGACATTCTAAAGAGGTCAGGCATGGAAGACACGAATAATTGATTTTAGTTAAAATTATGCTGTACACTGAATTTTTGGTTAAGAAATTCTCAAAGGGGAACAATTCTTGAGCTATCTTACCAGTCTTGCAAATCTTGTTCTAAAATTGTCAGAACGAGTGTTTTATTTTACAAAATAATCATAATCAGTGAAACCAACTTTCATCACAAACCATTTTTATTCTGAAAAAAAAACCAAACATATATTGAGTATTAAATCCAAAGACAGACAGGTGTCGGTGGCTCATGCTTGTAATCCTAGCTACTCAGGAGGCTGAGATCTAAGGATCACAGTTCAAAGCCAGCCCAGGCAGGAAAGTCTGTGAGACTCTTATCTCCAGTAAAACCACTCAGAAAAACAGAAATGGTGCTGTGGCTCAAATTGTAGAGTGCTAGCCTTGAGCTGAAGAGTGGGGGGACAGCGCTCAGGCCCAGACTCACACACACACACACACAAATCCAAAGACAATATATCTGTGATTTTTAAAAAATACAAGAAAATTTAGTTTTCAAAACATGTGAGTAAATAGAACATATTTTATTACCTGTTCTACAGAGAAATGTGTTATTAAATTTTAAGCAAATCATGTCATCTTTATAGGATATTGTAAACTCCTTTTATCTATGGTAATTTATACAATATTTCAATGTTCTTATGGTCAAAGAGGTAAGTGAAGTGATTATTGAATGGACATGTTTCTCTGTGGTCTCTCCTGCTTCTGGTTAGTATGTACCTGTGATTGGGTGCTCCACTTCCTAATGTTTCTGGAGTTACTCTTTGTGTTGTCTGCTGTCCTCAAGCTTAAGTAAGATATTTTTTATATTTAAAGGGAATTTGTATTTAAAAGGAAGTATTTGTATTTAAAGGGAAGACTGGTAAAAAATATATAGAATGTTCTTCTTCCCTTTCTATAGTTCACTTATAGCCAAGGACCCTAATATTCAGAGTTCTGAACTTTCTCATTGAACATGCATCTCTTGCCCACTTTCTCTATAAAGTCTGAGGAATCTTAAGGGAGTTGAAACCTTGAATGCCACTTTGTGGAAACTGCCAGGGCTTCCATGGAGGAAGGGTCACTTTTTATAATAGCTACTTCATTGTAGATGAATTGTAATCAGATCGTTATAAAAAAAAACCTTCAGAAAATCTATAGGTTTTCTATTCTGACCTATCTAAACTCTTGAAAGAACTCAGGCATTGCCTTTCTTTCTCTTCCTATTTTTTCTTTCTCTCCCTTTCCCTTTCCCCTTCTTTCCCCCCTTTTCTTTTTCCTCCTCTTCTTCTTCCTCCTCCTCCTCCTCTTCTCACTCCTCCTCCCCCCCTCCTCTTCCTCCTCTCCTCCCCTCCTCCTCCTCATTCTTCTTCTTCTTGTACTCTTACTTGGATTTTTCACTCAAGGCTGGTGCTCTATATTTGATCCATACCTCTACTTCTGGTTTTTTTGCTGATTCATTGGAGATAAGAGGCTCATGAACTTTTTGTGCCTGGGTTGGCTTTGAACCTAGATTATCAGATCTCCGCCTCCTAAATGGCTAGGTATGAGCTATACAGATATGAGCTACCAGCATCTGGCTGTTAGTTCCATTTCTTTAGATTAATTTGTAACTATCTAGTAAAAACACAACTTGTTTGTCCAAAAAGAACCCTACAATAAAACAAGGAGTCCTCTGTAGCATTCACTAATGAGAGATATTTTTTTAATTTTAAATTTCTCCCAAATAATATTAACACACCCCAAGTTTTCCAAGCCAGTTAAAATCTCACTTAGAAAGGATGCAAGATTTCTTTGTTTAATTCTCTTGTGTGTCAAAAAGTAACTTTGCTTCAGGTTGCTGGGGTATACCTATAGCCAAGTCTAAATGATGGTTATAAAGTTGGGGAGGGGCCCCCATGACACCACATTCAACAGATCTGAGATGATGGCTCTGATATTCTGAGCACTTGAGCCTTTTAGAATGCTTTTGGAGACTGCACTTGAAAAAGTACTTGAGAACCAAAAAACACAACTCAGCGAAATTTAACACAATGCACAAGCCCGAGGCAATGACTAAGAAGAAGATGAAGATTGTTTTCTCAGTGGGTTTGGAGATGAAGCAGTCCACAGTGTTGGGACAGGGCTTCAAATCACACTTCATAATGTGGGAAACACTAAAACCACCATATAACTTACAAAATAAAACAAGGAAGCCAATTTCAAATCCAGTTTTCACAATGAGGCTGATCAGGTATGTGTACCATAGACCTCCATCCATGGTGCCTGGGCTAACATAGAGTTTCCTTCTGAGCCTTTTCTCTCTACTCTCACGATAGGCTACATGTAGGACCACCAGGAGAGAAGGTGTGGACACCATAATCAGCTGTAAGGCCCAAAGTCTGACCTGGGAGATGGGGAAGAAGTAATCAAAACACACATTTTCACAACCAGGTTGTCGAGTGTTGCACTCAAACTCCTTGTCTTCATCCTTCCACACATGCTCTGCTGCCACGATGTAGACCAGCAAACGAAAGATGAACACAACAGCCAGCCAAATGCGCCCAATCCCAGTTGAGTATTTATTTACTCCACTTAGGAGGTCTCTGAGGAACATCCAACTCATGACTCAGGCTCACAAGAACGCAAGAATCTGCAAAAGACAACAATGTCACCAGTTTCATTTATTTCTATTCCATTGACCAATCTACTGTTTCAAAGACTCGGAAAAGGGCTGGGAAGGTGGCTCAGTGGTAGAGTGCTTGCCTTGCATACATGAGGCCCTGGGTTCGATTTCTCAGCACCACATATGCAGAAAAAGCCGGAAGTGGCACTGTGGGTCAAGTGGTAGAGCGCTAGCTTTGAGCTGAAGAGCTGAGGGACAGCTCCCAGGCCCAGAGTTCAGGCCCCAAAACCAGCAAAAAATAAAGACAGAATCGGAAAAAACAACAAAAGGAGTTAATATAACTGCTCCACTGATGTATTGATCCCATGCCCACTTTGATCCCAACCCTCACTTACCTCTCTCTCCAACTCTCTCTCTCTCTCTCTCTCTCTCTCTCTCCTCTCTCTAAAATCTCTGTGAAGCCAGCTATTAGTGGCAGGTTCCTGACTGCCAAATCTTTAGCTCAATCCCAGATCTCTGCTCCCCACTACCCCTTGATCTAAGTGTCCCACAGAAACCCCAACTTTGATCTGGCCACATGGAATTTATTACTTTTCCTGCCCTTTGACTCTTGTTGAACTGTAGGACCAACAGCCAAACACCCAATTTAGAAATCTCATACTCATCTTGGATCCTCTCCCATGAGTCTTTTATTAATTGCCCACCCATCAAGTTCTTCCTATTCCATCTAAACATCTCTTAAATCCCAAGGTGCTTCTGAAATCTCTCACCCATACATCTCCTATTTCTACTACCATCTTCTCTTCTCCCTTCTTAGTGGATGCTCAGTGATATTTGGTTCTGTGTGTGTGTGTGTGTGTGTGTGCGTGTGTGTGTGTGCATGCACACACACATGTACACATGTGCTGGTCTTGGTCTTGAACTCAGGGTCTGGTCTGTCCCGGGCTTTTTGTACAAAGCTACCTACCACCTGACCCACAGCTACAATTTTGGCTTTTTGGTGGTTAATTGAAGATAAGACTTTCCTGCTTGGGCTGGCTTCCAACCATGATTCTCAGAACTCAGCCTCCTGAGTAGCTAGGATTACAGGTATGAGCCACCAGCACCTCACTGCTACTTGGTTCTCTTATACTTGTCTCTATCTCTTGCTCTTTTCAGTGAAAAGTTAGTAGGAAATTGAGGACAACTTCTGCTTAATTTTAGTGACATTTGCTTTCTGGCACTTGTCTGCTCCCATCTTGTCTTATGATTGAACTCTGTGGGATGAGTCTTGATTTTTACTTACCAGGTCCAGTATGTGTTTAGTTTTGTTCAGTATTTGAATCGGTCTCTCACGGCCACCCGGAAAGGTAGATTGTTTTGGATTGTTTTTGCCTGTTGGTTTTATGGTGGCTCTGGTTTTGTTCTCTGAAATAAGGAAGCGGAGTCTGGGAAATGAAGCCACTTTTCCAAAGTCACAAAGTAGATTCAGGGGGACAGCACTCCAGGCCTGCCACTAATTCTCTGATTTCTCAGGGGAAAAATTTGACCTTTTCGAGTCCTGTTTTCTATTATGAAAGTTACTTTTTGTTTTGTCCACAGAATCAGCCAACAAAATATCACAGAAATAGTGTTGTGAAGAGAGCCACGGGGGAAATAAAATTAGAATATTGTTATAACAGCACACCTACTAGAATCTATTACATTCTCTTTTACAGAAGGAACAGTATTGAGTAAGCCCACACATTAGAACCCTGAAAAGACAAATTAAGGTTAAGAGGTATTTTTGGAATGAACACAGATACATGTATACAATGCTCTATTCAGCAGAGAATGAATACTTCAATGTCCTTGGTTTTCAGAACAAAACAAAATTGTATTAAATAAAAAGTATGTTTCAATCTATCTGAAAGGTTAATGTCTTCATGAATTATTGAAAAACAAAGCTCCAAAGACAAAAAAGGAAAGCAAAAGCTTTTATGTTTATGGCATGTCATTAGGCGTTTTTCCATATTACTCAAGAGGATATTTATGTAATGTCACAAAACATTTGAGAATCGTTTCAGAGAGAAATGAAGATGAGTCAATCCAGATTGCATTGCTGAAAGAAAACCAGTAAGAAAGCAATTGACCATTGAGTAGAATCAGAGGACTGGAGCCATCAAATTGCAGAATCACTTTTACTTTAATAACTGCTCATCCTATACCAGATCCTTTGCTGATGGAAAAGTAATGACTTTCTCATTGTGAAGAGTTATTTTAATGCTACTTCACTTTTAATTGAGTGACTTAGCATATGTGTAATAGCTTGGCCACAGTGTTGAGCTTTCTGGTTTAAGTCGAATCTCGTTAGTGACTCTGAGAGACTTATAGGGGTGGTAATGCTTTCATGTGCCCTTAAAACAAGTACAACACAGATCAATGCTCAGTATGCACTAGGACTATTACTTTTCTTTCCCACTAAAATGTGTTCTTCATGTCAAAGTCTTACCATTTCGTAAATGTAATATTAATTGTACATAATGCAATACACATTAAATGTACTGTATTTAGATCACTAGTAAATTCATTGCATTTAAATATACTGAATGTGGTATGTTTTCCTAGCATGTATGAAAGCCATGGGTTCAATTCCCATTACTGCAAGAAGTGCATTGAATGCAAAAAAAAATAATTTTTCTGTTTCATAGACGGTGAACAATAATCAGGAATTACCATATAATCTCAAGCATTTTGGGGAACTCTGGGTCTTGACACTGTCCCTGAGCTTTTGTGTTCAAGGCTAGGGTTCTACCACGTGAGCCATAGTACCACTTTCAGCTTTTTCCTTTTTGGTGCTTAATTGGAGATAAGAGTCTCATGGACTTTCCTGCCCAGGCTGGTTCCAAATCGAGATCCTCAAATCTCAGCCTCCCGAGCAGCCAGGATTACAGGTATGAGCCATTAACATCCAGCTTAATTTTTTAATCTATTAATAATTCCAGATTCTTCATGCATCCTTTTTCTTAAAATTTCAATGATTAGTTTTTTGAGTTTTCAATTTTTACTTTTTTTTTTTATAGTACTGGGGAAAAAAAACAGGGCCTTACACATAATAGGCAAGTGTTCTGCCCCTAAGCTATTTGCTAGGTTCCATTAACTATTCTTCTAACTAATTTATTTATTTATTTAGCTAGTTCTGGGGCTTGAATTCAGGGCCTAGGTATTGTCCCTGAGCTCTTCCTCAAGACTAGAGTTCTACCACTTGAACTACAGCTCCACTTCCAGCTTTTTTGGTGATTAGTTGGAGCTGAGAGTCCCACAGGACTTTCTTGCCTGGGCAAACTTTGAACCATGATCTTCAAATCTCAGCCTTCTGAGGAGCTAGGACTACAGGAGTAAGCCCTCAGCACCCACATCCACTTACCTGTTCTAATGTCTCAGTTTTTCCATAACTTCGTCCTCTCTCTTCTGAAGTAGCAGTTTACTTCACAGAAATTTAGTCTGGGCAATTCAGGTAATCAAGCATTTTAGATAGTAAAATATTCAATATTCTTAGTACCAATAAAAAATTAGAAAAGTTACAAAAAAAGAGGAGAGAGAAGTTAATGGGATGATTAATTTTCTCCACACAAAAGAATTTAGTTGGACTTCATCATTTACAAAAATTAATTTACAATGAACTTACAACCTAAATATGAGGTAAATTTATTAAACTATTAGAAGAAAACATAGGACCAAATCTTCATGACCCTGGATTTGGTAATAGACCACAAAAGAAAAATAAATTGAACCTTACAAAAATTTAAAAGTGCCACACATTAAACAACTTATCAAGAAAGTGAAAAGACTATGTATAGAATATTTATTAATATGTATAAATTTTATATCTGATATGGCTTTATATTCAGAATGTATAGAGCCAACCTGTGGGAACTGGTGTCTATTAACAGATGAGTTGATAAAATGTGATGATAACATATAAGAGAATATCATCCAGCTATAAAAACAAAATTCTGATGCATGCTACATCACAAGAGAAACGATGTTATCTCTAGACTGGCCTCAGGTTGTAATCCTTCCAGACTCTGTTTCCTAAGAAGCTAGAACGTGCCTGGACAAGGTATCTTCACTTTTGAAGATTCTTTGTAAAATCCCTGAACCGTTTTTTAGATCAGGATCTGTGGGATTCCTATTGATCTGTAAGGATATATAGGAAATGGGTTATGTTTTGTGTATGCTATTCTTTCTCTTTCTGTGTGTGTGTGTGTGTGTGTGTGTGTGTGTGTGTGTGTAGAGTATTATAACTCAACAAGAACACTACTAGGCAAAGGATTTAAATATATATTTCTCTAAGGAAGATTGTACAAATGGCCAATAAGCACATGAAACATGAGTAGTCCTTAGAGGAATACAAAAGTTCAATAATATACCACTTCATACTAATTTGACTATAATTTTAAAACCTCAGGTGTTGGTGAAGATGTGGAGAACTGGAGCCTTTGCTCACTGCTGATGGAAATATGAAATAAGACAGCCCCTGTGGAAAAGTCTGAAATTTTCTCAAAAAGGTAAACATAAAATCACCAAAACATGGCCCAACAATTTAACTCATAGGAATATGCCCCCAAAGAACTCAAACATACTTGCATGCCAAGGTTCACTATAGCATGACAATCAAAGCCAGGTCTGGGCCTTGACCTCAGCCTAGGCACTGTTCCTGGGCTCCATTTTCTTTCTTTTTTTTTTTTTCCTTGTTTTTGGGTCTGGTCGTGGGGCCTGAACTCTGGGCCTGGGCGCTGTCCCTCAAGCTCTTCAGCTCAAGGCTAGAACTCTACCACTTGAGCCACAGCACCACTTCCGGCTTTTTTCTTTTTGCTTATGTGGTGCTAAGGAATCGAACCCAGGGCCTCAGGCATGCAAGGCAAGCACTCCACCACTGAGCCACCTTCCCAGCCCCATCTGGGCTCCATTTTCTTAAGGCTAGCTCTCTACCACTTGAACCATAGCACTACTTCCAGCTTTTTTTGTGATTCACTGAAGATGAGTCTTATGGACTTTCCTGCCCCAGCTGGCTTTGTACCATGATCCTCAGATCTCAGCCTCTTGAGTAGGATTATAGGCATAAACAACCAGCACCTGGCTCTGAAACATCTTTTGTCCAGTACACTTTCCTTAAGTTTTATTTTGTTAGTTTTGTGATGTTATATATTTCTTTTGTGAATGTAGATGCAAAAGAGCTATGAAGTTTAAGGATTTTTACATCTTGTTTTAGGACTTGTATGTGTAAATAACATGTTATTTAGAAAAAAATGTCAACATCAGGAGTCCCTGCGAAACACAGAAAAGAAAGAACATCTGCACAGCCCAAGAGGGCTGTTTTAATTTAATTTTAACAGGGTATTTTAATTCCCTGTATAAATATCGGCATTGTCATTTTTACAGCATGTCCAATTAGGAACAATGCTAAGGCTGCTCTCATCCCACACAATGGGTCACTGAAAGGTCCCAGGCTGTGGCCCTCAACTCTGTTGTCCTGCTCATCACATTGACCCCCTGTACTCTGAGCTCCTACCAGGAGCTCATCCTTGGCCACCGTCCCCAAAGGCCCTGCTTTAATCACATATTCCAAATGTGACAACTTTATTTTGTGGCAACTTATGCAGAAAGGGCACCTTTTGTGGCACAAAGCTGACTGACAGAACAGTAAGTTTTGTAATAAGACACATTACCACTTTCACTGAAACTGTTTTGAACCAAGTAATCGCTACTCAACTACAATAAAAATACAGTTGTCCCATTATATTGACAAAGCCTGACAAGAAAATAAGCTTAACTTACCTCTCAGTAGAGAAGTGGACATTTAGAAGAAATCCGGTCACTCATTTGATTTTTTAAAAGCATGAGTTTAGTCCATTATTTCCCTGAGAATGAACTTGTGTTTTAAGCCCAAGGAAATGAAATCTAGTGGTTTCCAAGGTAGTGTGAACCAAATAGGTGTAACCTGATCCTTTGTTTTGGCTCATAACTTAGATGTAGTTTGCTGAGTCTCTATGTTGAAAGAACTAAAACTGGAAATATGCATTCAAAGTCCCTGTCTCTCTCACACATACAGTAGTTCATTGAATATTCCTTTCTATAAGAACTTCTCATCATCCTTACAAAGAAGCTAGGACAATGAGAGTGCCTCATCTGTGTAAATGATTTTTCCAAGGTATTATCAAATGCTATCTAATAAAAAAATCAATAGGCAAAGAACAATTTAGGCAATCTATCTTTAATGAGCTTATTTGACCTCACTCCATATGTTTTCATCTTAGAAATTTAGAAAGTAACAGGGTGTGGTACTAGCACTTGGGAGGTAGAGGCTGGAGGATATGTAAATTTGAGGCCAACCTGGACTACATAGAGAGACCCTGGCTAAAAGCCAAACATTGTCTAAAAGAAACAGCGCTCTTTGCCTGACTTATGTAACTATTACCCCTCTGTTTTTAGCATTTTCAAATAAAAACCAAAACCAAATAAAAATCCAGAAAGTAGAAAGACGTAGTTTTTGTGTTCACATTTTTAAAAATAAATGTATACTCTTACAGTGGGATGGGACACAATAGAAATAAAAAGAAGAGTAAAGATCATTTCTCAAATTCAGAAATCAATGATAACAGATATTTCCTAAATAGGTAACAGAGCTAAGTGGAGAAAGAACTTTAAAATATTAAAATGGTTATATGGAACAATTTCTAGTATGCCCTTTGTCTAGAATTAAAAGAGGTAGCAGTGAAATTATTTCCTCCAAGAATAAGAATAGCTTGGAAGCAGTTTTACAGGTGGAAATATTAGATGTCATAAAATGTAATGCCTTCATAAAAAATGCTTTCGGTGCCAGAGTCTCTATAGAAATAGAATAATTGGGGATGGAACCCACATCTGGGAGCTCTTCCTCCATGATATGAGTTACACATACATGGATCATGTGAGATTCAGGGCAGGTTATTTCTGATGGGTTTTTTTGCTCACGACTTAACAATTAGCTAAGTGCTGGTGGCTCACACCTGTCATCCTAGCTAACTCAGGATGTTGGGGTCTGAGGATCACAGTTCGAAGCCAGCCCAAGCAGGAAAGGCAATAAGACTCCTTATCTCCAATTAACCACAAAAATAGTTGGAAGTGGAACTGTGATGCAGTGTTAGTTGTGAACAAAAAAAGCTTAAGCACAGTGCCCGGGCACTACATCTAAGCCCCAGTTACTGGAACAAACCAAAACAAAATCATTCTCTCCATCTCCATATATTAAATCCAAAATTCAAAGAAGAGTATATTTATTTAAAAAATCAGCACTAACTAAAATTACTAATTTCGGTGACTGGATAAACTTCTTCCAGGTAGAACACTAAAATTTGCTAATTTTGTCTTTTTTTTGTTTTTCATTTATTAAAGTATTCTCTTATCGATAACTTTATTTTTTTTTTTTTTTGTCTGTTGTGGGGCTTGAATGCTGGGCCTGGGGGCTGTCCCTCAGCTCTTCAGCTCAAGGCGAGCGCTCTACCACTTGAGCCACAGCGCCACTTCCAGCTTTAAATTTTTAATTTAGTTTTTGACATTGTAATTTTAAAGGTGATGCACCAAAGGGGTTGCAGTTTCATAAGTCAGGCAATGAGTACATTTGTTTTTGGACAACACCACACCTTTCTTCACACTGTCCCAGTTTTTCCCTCCCATCCCCAACCACAAGTTTGTTGTGCTTTTATAGATATCCCAGGACTCCAGATTGTTGGTCCTATTAATATTGGGATGAGAGTCCAAAGCTTTGTTTCTGGGGCTATATATCCCTTTTGGTTTCTACTTCTTTGTTTATAATTAGGACTCACTAAGCTTTACTCATAATTTAAAACATTTCCTGTTTGTACTGAAACACTTTCTGCTAGAACAGTTGTCTGTTTGTTGTTAAACAGCTGGTGCCTTATTGTTAGGGTAACCTTGAGGGTGACCTTCCTGAACACCTGAGCACCATGACTCAGAGGACCTCGGCCTTCCAGTAATGTCAGCACGAACCCACACAAATATTACCAGACAGTGATCCAGTAAGGCCAGCTGTCATCTCCCAGCAACAACTCTCAAGGATCTTTCAGTGTGTCACACAAAAGCTAGAAGAGAGAGCTAACAGGGCAGAGGGTGACCAGGAGAGACTCTAGAGAAAGATAGAATACAAGTCAGATCTTTATGGAGTGAGGGGTGTTAACTGGGCAGTCTTCTGGACACAAGGTCACTACTATACTTTTGACAGAGATTTAACTCTTCTGCTTCTGTTCTGGCTTGGGAGAGACAAATATAATGAAGGTTGCAAAAAAGAATATCAAACAACATCATCTTGAAATCAGGAATCTTCAGATGAGGCTAGGTGCCAGTGGTTCATGCCTATAATCCTAGCTACTCAGGAGGCTGAGTTCTGAGGATCACAGTTCAAAGCCAGCCTGGGCAGGAAAATTTCCATGAGGTTCTTGTTTCCAATTAAGCACTCAAAAACAGGTACTGGTGCTGTGGCTCAAGTGTCAGAGTGCTAGCCTTGGGCCCAGAGAGGTTCTGGGACAGTGGCCAACCCCTGAGTTCAAGCCCCACTAGCTACAAAAAAAAAAAAAAGGAAAAGAAAAAAGGAAAAAAAATCTTCAGATGAAATTGAGGAGATTGAACTTGAAAAATAAGAATAATATTGATTTCTGCTCTATTCATTTATTTATTCATTCATTCATTTTATATTTGTGCTGATCTTGGGGCTTGCTCAACTTTCTTGTTCCTATCTTGTGTTTTGCCATTTGAGCCACACCTCTAGTTTGGTATTATGTTGGTTAGTTGGAGAGCCTCTTAGACTTTTCTTCCTGGGCTGGTTTTGAATAGAGGTCCTCAGATCTCAGCCTCCTGAGTAGCATTGGTTATAGGCATGAGCCACCAGCACCTAACCTCTTCTCTTAGGTTTCTGTTTTGACAGATGCCTCTTCAATATGAGAATGTGGCTTTGTGAGATGACCAGCAAGAGTTCAGGGCAGACTGGGCCTTTGAAGGACCAACATATCCCTCTGGAGGAATTGCCCTAGGGTTGGAGCTAGAGGGATACCCTCTTAGAGATCAGGTTGTTAAGAAGGACCACAGAAGTCAGGCCAGGTAGCTCACAACTGTAATCCTAGCTACTTAGGAGACAAAGATTTGAGGATCATGGTTGGAAGCCAACCTCAACAGGAAAGTCCCTGATACTCTTATCTCCAGTTAACCAGCAAAAAGCTGGAAATGGATCTGTGCTAAAAACTAAAGGAGCTGTGCTTTGAGAGGAAAAAAAAAGCTGAGGACAGCACCCAGACCCTGAGTTCAAGCACCAGGACCGGCACACAAAAATTGTGGGGCAGGAGGGCAGGGCACAGAGGAAGTGGAGGTGTGATTCAAGTGGTAGAGTGCCAGCCTTGAGCACTGACACAAAAATTGTGGGGCAGGAGGGGGGGCACAGAGGAAGTGGAGGTGTGATTCAAGTGGTAGAGTGCCAGCCTTGAGCACTGAGCTCCCAACACACACACATACACACACAAACACACGCGCACACACACACACACACACGTGCACCAATGATGTATCCTTGAGATTATCCAGGAAAAGGGGTACAGCTTCTAGGTTTGTTTCTCTGATGTGTTCAGCCTGGTGAGGGTAAAGGGCAGAGTTAGTACTTCTGGAAATATGTCTCTGGGACAGTTCTGGTCTCGGACATCATTTTCTCACTTAAATTCTGAGCAGTTGAAATGTAGAAGAGACTACTCAGTATACCAATGGATGGGTACAGGCTGAGCAACCCTTACCTGAAATTAGTAGAACCAAAAGTATGCTGCATTTCTGAGTTGCATATATATTGTATCCTGAAGATTAGAATCTAAGTACAAAATTTATTTATGCTTCACATATATCTCAAAAAGATACATAGTCTGGGGTAATTTTAGATTATATTTTTAGTACCTTTGTGGCATGAAGCAAGGTTTTCTAAAAGTGCTGCCATATACAAGAAGGCTCTTTCCTTTAAGATACTGAATAAAATGTATTGTCCAACTGCTTCTTCTTTCTCCCTTCTTTCCTTCCTTCTTTCTTTTTTCCTTCCTTCTTTTCTTCCCTTCCTTTCTTCCTTCTTTTCTTTCTTTCCTCCTTTTCTTTCTTTTTTCCTTTCTTTTCTTGATTTCCATTCCTTCTTTCCGTTCTTCTTTCTTTTCTTACTTTCCTTCCTTCTTGTCCTTTAATTCTTTCTTCCTTTCTTCCTTCCTTCCTTCCTTTCTCTTTCTCTCCTTCTTTTTCGCTGGTACTGGGGCTAAATCTCAAGGCCTAGGCACTGTGGTTCCTTAGCTTGAAGGATGGTGGCACACTACCACTTGAGCCACTGCTCCACTTCCAGCATTTTGGTGATTACATGGAGATGTCTTACAGATTTGCCTGGCTGGGCTGGCTTCAAACCATGATCCTCAGATCTCAGACACCTGACTAGCTAGGATTACATGGGCGAGCTACCGCCATCCATTTTGAACTGTGACCCATCACAAGTTCAAGTGTTATGTAGGAACTCAGAAACTTTTTGGTCTCTGGAGCTGAATTTCAAGTTTTCTGATTAGGGATACTTAAGTAAAGTTGATAAGCAGTAAAATTTAATCCACTAGGAGAAGGATAATATGTTTATTTTTGTTATAATAAATAATAATTATAGAAAATTAAGGGCCACAGAATTGTCCTCCATGCAGGTGCTACATGAGAGGAACATGACCAATATTCTAATGTTAACATCAGAGCTGGCTACAAAATTAAAAGTATTTTCATGGTTGGGAACTATATGAAAATAGCACTGTCCTCTGAACTTGACCTTTATTAATTCTCAGCACAGGGTCTCTCTCAACAGAGGTCAAGGTTCTGGTCTTTCAG